AAGGCTGAGGCAGAAGGATTGCCGGAGCCCAGCCGGTCGAGGCTGCGGTGGCCGGGAGCGTGCCACTGCACTCCAGTCTGGGCGACGGAGTGAGACTCCGACTCAAAAGAAAAAAAAAAGAAAAAGGGAAAATTTGGACACAGAGACACAGAAGAACAATGCCATGTGAGGATGAGGCCAGGGACCAGGGTGATGCTTCTAGAAGCTAAGAACACCAAACATGGCCAGCAAACCACCAGGAGCCCGTGGAGAGGCCTGGAAGATGCTCCCTCACAGCCCTGAGAAGGAACCAGCCCTGCCCACACCGTGAACTCAGACTTTCAGCCTCCAGAGCTGTGAGACTATCACTTTCTGCGGTTTAAGGCCTCCATTTGAGGTGCTTTGCTATGTCTGAGCTACAGAACGAATATATCACTCCCCTCTCAGACCCCAGGAGTCCTGGCCCCCAGCCCCTCCTCCCTCCCTCAGACTTGTGAGTCCAAACCCTCAGACCCGGGAGTCCAGGCCCCCAAGCCTCCTCCCTCTGACTCAGGGGTCCAAACCCCCAGCCCGTCCTCTCTCAGACTCAGATCTGTCCTCAAACCTAGGGGTCCTGACCCCAGCCCCTCCTCCCTCAGACCCCAGAGTCCACGCCCCCGGCCCCTCCCCCTCAGACCTAGGAGTTCACAACCCCCAGTCCCTCCTCCATTAGACCCAGGAGTTCAGAGCCTCAGCCCCTCCTCCCTCAGACTCAGGAGTTCAGGCCCCAAGCCTCCTCCCTCAGACTCAGGGGTCCAAACGCCCAGCCCCTCCTCTCTCAGATTCAGATCTGTCCTCAAATCTAGGAGTCCAGACCCCCAGCCCCTCCTCCCTCAGACCCAGGAATACAGACCCCAGCCCCTCCTCCCTCAGACTTGGAAGTCCAGCCCTCCCCGCCCTCAGGCAGCACCCACCCTGGGCAGACGTGTCTCAGGATCGGTTCAGGCCGGCCGGATCTCCCAGCAGTGACAGGACTGTGAAGAGGCTAAACTTCATCCTCTCACTCTCCCTTTCCCCAATCCCGGGATTTACATGTGTCTCTAATGCCCTCGTCACTTGAATCCCTAAGCCGGAGTCTACAGCATCCACCCAGAGAGAAGGGGCCGCCCTGCTCCTGCCGTCTTCACCCATCCAGTCGGCACCCCTCAAATCTGCCCGCGAGCCTGGCACCAGGGTGGTGGGGGACGGGCCAGCCAGGCCAGGAGATCAGAGCCGCAGAGACAGACCGGGTCCCACAGCCAAAGGCAGGGGTGGAGGCAGAGACCGCGTGCAGAGGAAACCCAGCAAGATGTCAGAGACAGCACAAGGAGGAAGACAGTAGGGGCCGAGAGAGGCGACAGGAAGACACAGATAAGGAGGAGGAAGTGGAGGCAGGCAGGAACCCAGACAAAGAAAGGGAAGTAAGATTGGGGAAGAGAGGGAGGCTGAGAGAGAGAAACCGAGTCAGGTGGGGACCCAAAGCCGAGATGGGTGAGACAGAGCTAAAGGGACAAAACCGACCAGGCGCGGTGGCTCATGCCTGGAATCCCAGCACTTTGGGAGGCCGAGGTGAAAGGACTGCCTGAGTCCATGGGTTCGAGGCCAGCCTGGGCAACATGGTGAAGCCTCCTCTCTACAATAGATCAAGAAAGTTAGCAGGGCGTGGTGGCGCGCGCCCGTGGTTCCAGCTACTTGGAAGGCTGGGGCGGAAGGGTCGTCTGAGTCCAGCAGGTGGAGGCTGGGGTGGCCGTGGGCGTGCCCCTGCTCTCCAGCCTGGGCCACAGAGGGAGACTCCGACTCAAAAGGGTGTGGGCGGGCACGTGCAGAAACAGGGAAACTGAGGCAGAGCCACCCTGGGCGGGGAGGCGGACCCCGGCCCCCGAGGGCCAGGCAGTGCCGCCGTGCGGGCTGTCGCCGTGATC